AATAAAATTGATTTAATTGTAAGCGGTGAAGTTTATTCTCTTTGGGAGTATCAGCTATTTTTACCATTGGATAGTCAGGGAAGCTGACGGCTTTGTATGAACTCGGCCTCTGATAGTTGTTGCGCTTGCGTTATACCAAAGTTGTCTGCGAGCCTACAAATCTGTAGCCAGTTGCCTTTCAGATTAATAGCGAGTTTATCTTCATAATTACACATAAAAAAGGGATAGCTTCATCTAGGTGAAATATTGGCATAAATGACCATGAATTTATGGTTCCAAATGAAAGCACTTATACAGTGGAGGAAGTTTACTGGCAGGAATGGGTCCAGCAATCCTTACAATACCATGTCTGATTTAGTTTTGTAAATCATATCACAAAGTTACCAAATGACCTCAGAACATCTGACTGTTGCGCCAATGTGTAACCAACCGTTAAAGCGCATATTATCCCAACATAGACTGTAAAACCTTCATTTTCTCCAACAAAAACAAAACTATCTCCATGATTGAATTTGTATTGTAAAACAATGATCGATCAATCGGATAAAAAAAGTCATGTGGTTGATGAAGGTTTAGAAATTGTACTATCTTTTTGGTGCAGAAAGTTGTCTGTTGGTTCCAGTCCATACCCATAAGTTGCATATGTTGCCGCTGAAGCAGCCACTGCGCCAGCTCTTGCACCTTTTAAAAAGAACAAGAATTATTATTAAGGTTCAGAGTAATAAAGTAACTCAACGCCAGAGCAAGGACACGATTCATACTATAACACAGCTATTCGCTTTATGACTTGGCTAATTTTTCAAATATGGCAACAAGTCGGTATTTTGAATATGACATCTAAAAGTTCCAATAGATTATTTTTAATAATTTGTTGTGGGGCTCCAAAAATAATAGTCAACCTCTCCACAGGCTCCATAACACCAAATGTTTGAGAACCCTTGCTGTAACACGGTGAAACGCAAAATATTGTGGCAGGAGTTCTTAGCCTTTATTTTTAGAAGTAAAAGTTACCCCCACATTTATTTATATTTTCACTTCTACAAATAATGAAACCAGTTTATTTTGTTGTGTAATAAAAAATATGAATTTCTTTATTGCAAAATTTATTCCTAAGGCAGGTCAAATTCAACTTCATCCCTGTACTATGCCATTGAGTGTCACATTTCGTGGTCCTTGGGACTCCTAATGCCTAAAAGTGTACACTATCTAGTAATCTAATATAGACATAACTGATTCCTTATTTAATCTCAGAAGTATAAAATAGTTATATTACCTGCCATAGCAGCTGCACGGCCAGTGAATATCCTTTTTGCTCTACTTGCCCTTCGACTCCTAGTTCCTATTCGAGTGGTTGAAGAACGATTATAACTTCGCTTTGGTGCTTCTGGAATCAGCGGTCTGATCCGAGGCCTTCCTCTTGCCCTGCCAGAGCCACGACCACCTCTACCCCTAAATGATCTAACATTCGGTGTTCCTATATTGGCCGGTGAATCTAGATCATCAATAATGATGAGATCTTCATCTAGATAACGCGGATCACTATTTCCAGAGATTCCACTGGCCGGACTAGTTGGAGCAGAATCAAAAAATGAGCTGGATTTGGAATCCTCATCTGCAGGTGCTAAAGTTCCAGTTAAAAATTTACTCTCGAATAAGTTATTTGATGGTGAGTTTGACTCGGAGTGAGATATTGTTATATTACATGAAGGGTCAGTTACTCCTTGTTCTTGCATAAGCTTGATACGTTTTTCTTCTCTTTCAGCATTAGTTTTCCTCCCTCGTTTTTTGCCTTTGTAAGGCAATATATCTCCCCTGTTTTCGTCCCTCTTCATTTTCAACTTTTGCATGAGTTGTTCATCATCAAGAAGCAGTGATACAACTTCTTTAGGCTTGAGAGCATCAGGCTTGAAACTACCTCCAGCAATAACCATCCTTTGAATAACATTTTTCTCTTCGGCACGCTGTAAAATTCTTTCATCCACTGTTCCTTGACACACAAGTCTGTATACAGTTACCTGCTTTGTTTGTCCAAGTCGATGAGCTCGATCCATAGCTTGCTGATCGACAGTTGGATTCCAATCACTATCATAAAATATCACAGTGTCTGCAGCAGTCAAGTTGATACCTAAACCACCCGCTCTGGTACTGAGAAGAAAGGCAAAAATATCTGAACGAGACTGAAAATCAGCAACCATATCTCTACGTTCAGAAATACGAGATGACCCATCAAGACGAATATATGTATGTCTACGATACCACATATATTCCTCTAATATATTGATCATTCTAGTCATTTGTGAGTAAATAAGAACTCGATGTCCTTCAGCTTTCAGTCGTCTTAGTAAAACATCCAATGCATAGAGTTTACCACTATCCATTACCAAGTATTCCTTTTCAGGTATATTGATATTAGACCAACCAGCTGGTGGAGATAGTGCAACAAGACCAGATCCAGTGTTTGCATGCTTCCAGAATATTGTCTGTTTTTTGGGGATATTAGGTGGCTGACTCAAGCTATAAAACTCGATATTTTCCGCAGATGGGCCATACAGCAATGGAGTCATCATATCCCCAAATGATGGCTGTGATAATTCAATACAAGCATTGGTATCACAGCAGTAGATATCTTGCACACCAACTGTAATTGCAGGGAAATATAAAGACATCAGAAGCTTCGGCATCGAGATGAATTGATGCCCTTGATAAACTGATTGCTGATTTTGAAGGTCACTACTTCCATTTCTGCTTTGCAATTTTATAATTTTATTAACATGTGTATAACCATCCATGCAATATGTAGTGAAGACTAGTTTTTGAAAAGGTGATTCAGGGCAAAACCAATTCAAAAAATTTGTATCAATCAATAAGAAATCTTTTAAATTAAAATTGTTTTTTATGTCTTTTTCGTAATCATCTGGGGCATCCCGCAATAAATTATCAGAATGAAAAATATGCTTCAGATAGATAGATTTTTTGACAGTGAGCATATTTGCATCTAAAAGCCATCTAAATTTTGCGCTTGATCCCATTACTTTCCAGTACATTGTGTGTGATACGCACAGTAATCGCAAGAAAGAAAAGTCTGATGACCCATTCTGATAAAACAATGATTGCTGAATGTTGTGTGGGTGATGAATATTCAAGTCACAGTATAAAAGTTTCCTTCTTCCTGGAGAGATTCTTGACAATATTCCTTCTCTATAAATAAGTCTTGGTAAAAAATAGAAAGGAATCGGATCTGAATGCAAAGGGGAAGTGATTTCACGTCTTTCAAACAAATCTGGGTGATTGCAAACTTTTCTAAATTGCATTACAATATTCATGAGTGCTGTTCCTCCAGAGCTTACATAAGTATTTCCAGATGATTTTAAAATATCTTCTAATCTTATATTTTGTTTCACACCATTGTACAAACTTTGTTGTCGGGGAGTCAAGCTACAATGTACTCGAACCTCAATCTTTTCAGATAACTCATTTCAACATCACGCTTTATGCGACGCAGCATAAAAGGTTTGAGAATCATGTGCAATCTAGAAAGCTGGGTTTCATCAATATTAGATTTATTTTCTATGTGGTTCTCAATGTCTTTTGAAAACCACTCATTGAACTCACTGTGGCTATCAAATAAGGAAGGCATAATAAAGTGCAATAAAGCCCACAGCTCAGCCATTGTATTTTGGATTGGTGTTCCTGTTAAAAGTAGTCTGTTCCTGCAATTAAAATCAAGCAATACTTTCCATCTTGCACTAGAGCTACTTTTTAGCGCTTGAGCCTCATCAAGTACCATATATTGCCATTTTATACGTTGGAAATATCTCACATCTGATATCACAAGTTGGTAGCTTGTCACCAGGATATGAAAGGGAGCAGAATTCCTATCAGAATGGTATGATGATTTTTGATTCCAAAATTTACGCAATACCTTTCTATCATTAGGATTACCCCAGTATGGTAATACTTTAAACTCTGGGAAAAATTTTGTAAATTCCTGATGCCAATTATTAAGTGTAGATGCAGGTGCAACTACTAGAAACGGACCCCAAATATTGATTTTTTCTGCCAGATGTCCGAAAAATGCAATCGTTTGAACGGTTTTACCAAGGCCCATTTCATCTGCCAATATTCCGTTAATTCCTTGTTCGTATAGATTAACAAGCCAATTCATACCTTTGAGCTGATAGGATTTTAACAAACCTTTGAACAAAGAAGGCTGTTTGAGTTCCTCATTGGCAGAAATACTTGGGTTCATAAGGCTGTATGACTCAGAGAATTTATTTGTTTCACTTTCTACAGAATCAAAAGTTGAGGTTTGACTTTGTTGTTGTTCAATGGCTTTCTTAACATTTTTCATAGCTTTGTCTGAATAATAACTCCCATCATGATCGTCAAAGTCATGTTCGAATGAAGCATCTTCACTCACAGACACCTGACTATCATTATCGATATAATCTTTTTCAAGAGTGTTCAATATTGATTTAATGCGTTCATCATTCTCAATACCATCATGTGCTTTACCTAACTTTTTACTGATAAAATGGGCAAAAAGTTCAGTTTGTGATATTAAAAAATTTAATTTTCTTTGTTGCCTTTTCGCTTCTCGCATTTCCTCGTCAAGTTTAATTTGCTCCAAAGCATGCTTTTCAGCCTTTTTACGATGAACTTTCTCCACTTTGCTATATTTTTTCCAAAAAAGTTGCATTTCTCTTGTAATGCGCCGAGCTCTGCCCGATTTATCTTTAGATACTTTAAGAGATAGTGCAGCATTCGCTCTCTGCCTTTTCATGGATTCCCGTGAAACTCGTCTCAAAAGTGCAAGGTTATTACTACGCAGCTGCATTCTCACACGATACGCTTTTGGAATGTCCTTTTTTGCAATGAGCTTCCAATGTCGTTTCCTTATGGTGTCTATACTTGGCTGCTTTTTCTTTTTCGTTAAATCTGATTTACCCAGTAGCATCTGGGAATCCTGAGATTTGTAATCTGCGTCACAATATTCTTCTTTAATATTTGTAATCCTGCCTACATCATTAGATATTCCTGAAGTAATGGTCTGTTTTTGTTCTACCTTTGATTTCTTTTTCTTCTTTATTAAATGTTTTTTAAAATTCTTTCTGTGTGACGGCCACAGATCACGATTAGTTACATAATCAGAACTGTAGTATTTGTACTTTGCAAGTGCAGGTTCATTTTCCCATTTTATTTTCATTACCTTTTTTTTCCTATGAAGTTTCAGCATTTCTCTGTAGTCTTCCTCGGTGACATCATCTTCGTCATCGCTTGTTTCCTCTTCTTCAAATATATTTTTAATCCATGATCGAGAGGAATTAGTTTGCTTAAATCCATAAGGATTCGTGAACTTCTTGTCCAAATCTTTAATGTATAATTTATTCCTTTCACGCTCCTCTATTCGTGCTCTGAGCTGATCCAAATATTGTCTTTTTAATTCTGCTGCTTTTGCGATTTTGTTTAAAAGCTCTCCAACACCCAGAGCCCTTTTAATACCTTGCACATACACAGACTCAGCCATTCCATTTTGCAAAAACTGTTTTCCCTCATGTTGAGTTGCATCAAGAGGTGATTCCATTATCTCGGTACAGCAGTATCATCAATACGGTACCTGTACCGGAGTCTACTAACAGACTAAGGAGTTACATTATCAATATAAAAACTCATGCTACATAAAAAAATACAAAACAGTTGAAAAGTAGAGCCATTACACAGTTCTGCAGTTACGGTACAGTACTGCAGTAGGTATCAGTACGATATGGTATGATACGGACATGGTGGGATTCAAACTTTATGTAAAGGTTCCATCACAAAAGTCATATTTTTCGACCGGTTCTGTTACACAGTTACATGTTTTTTTTAGTAATGCAATGCTAACCGGTTCGCTAAACTCATGAAATTCCGGGGGACGGTTCCATAGAACCGGCTGAATCCCCCCACTGGATACGAACCCGACTATAAAGGTAGGTACGGTATCACATGTACCGTATCCTGTGTATCAGTCACTTAAAAGGTAGGTCAGTAGGTATAAAAACTGGAGAGGTAGGTATCAGTAGTAGCTACCTAGTGACCTAGATGACTAAAAGGCTAGGGTTACATGGGTTAAGGTATCATTAAGTTACTGCTGTACTGACAGACTGATAGTAGGCCTAACCCTACCTTTATTAGTCATCTCCTAGATCTACTGATACCTATCACTTTAGTCAATGATACCTGTGATACCTACCTTTTTTTACCACTGTGAATCGAGAGGAATTTCAGCGGAAAAATATTCTGCAGTTTTCAACCGGTTCCCATTCGGAAAATAATCTCTAATTACAATATTTATAAGGGATAAATGGATCCTATTTAAAATAATATGTTCCGAAGGAAACAACTCAGACCAAAATATAAGTTTAAGCACATTTAGCTGGTAGTGGTAATTACAACATACATAACTGTATATATTACATAAAACTAAAACGTATTAAAATATATTTGCAGAATGAAAAAAAATACAAAATAAAAATAGGCTACAGTTGTTGGGAACACAAAAATATCGGAAAATATTTTTTTCAATGTTACATGCAAACTCTAGGGTTCGAGACCAAATGCGAATATGATCCGCAAAGTTCCGACAATTTTTAACAGTAATTTTGAATAGTACCAATATTGATAAGTATTATATATAAAAGTTGAAGGGAACAAAGCGGGACTTTATGATTTATGGGGTTTCAAATACAGGCCAAAAACAAGATTTTCTGAAATTTGATGCGTACTCGGTATATCGAGGCCGAATTCGAATATGTTGCTTTATATGCCGACAACTTTCGGCAACGATTTCGATCACATGTACAAGTCAAGTGTCTAACACCAAAGTATGATTACCAGCGGAACAAAACTTAACAAAATATGGCCCTACAAAAATTGAAAAAAAATCAGATTTTGCTATATTTCGTACGAACTCAATGATTCGATGCCGAATTCGAATATGATCCGCAAAGTGCCGATAACTTTTCACAGTAATTTTGAATAGTACCAATAGTGACAAGTATTATATATAAAAGTTGAGGGGAACAAAGCGGGACTTTATGATTATTGGGGCTTCAAATACAGGCCAAAAACAAGATTTTCTGAAATTTGATGCGTACTCGACATATCGATATCGAATGTGATCCGCAAAGTGCCGACAACTTTTAACAGTAATTTTGAATAGTACAAATAGTGAAAAGTATTATATATAAAAGTTGAAGGGAGCAAAGCGGGACTTTATGATTTATGGGGCTTCAAATACAGGCCAAAAACAAGATTTTCTGAAATTTGATGCGTACTCGGTAGTCGGTATATCGAGGCCAAATTCGAACATGTTGCTTTATTTGCCGACAACTTTTGACAACGATTTCGTTGACATGAACAAGTCAAGTGTCTAACACCAAAGTATGATCAACAGTGGAACAAAACTCAACAAAATATGGCCCATCAAAAATTGACGAAAAATCAGATTTTGCTGTATTTCGTGCGAACTCAATGATTCGATGACAAATTCGAATATGATCCGCAAAGTGCCAACAACTTTTCACAGTAATTTTGAATAGTACCAATAGTGAAAAGCATTATATATAAAAGTTGAAGGGAACAAAGCGGGACTTTATGATTTATGGGGCTTCAAATACAGGCCAAAAACAAGATTTTCCGAAATTTGATGCGAACTCGATATATCGAAGCCAAATTCAAACATGTTGCTTTATTTGCCGACAAATTTTGACAACGATTTCGATGAAATGTACAAGTCAAGTGTCTAACACCAAAGTATGATCAACAGCGGAACAAAACTTAACAAAATATGGCCCTTCAAATTTGACAAAAAATCAGATTTTGCTGTATTTCGTGCGAACTCATTGATTCGATGCCGAATTCGAATATGATCCGCAAAGTGCCGACAACTTCTAACAGTAATTTTGAATATTACCAATAGTGAAAAGTATTATATAAAAAAGTTGAAGGGAACAAAGCGGGACTTTATGATTTATCGGGCTTCAAATACAGGCCAAAAACAAAATTTTCTGAAATTTGATGCGTACTCGATATATCGAGGCCGAATTCGAATATGATCCGCAAAGTGCCGACAACTTTTAACAGTAATTTTGAATAGTACCAATAGTGGAAAGCATTATATATAAAAGTTGAAGGGAACAAAGCGGGACTTTATGATTTATGGGGCTTCAAATACAGGCCAAAAACAATATTTTCTAAAATTTGATGCGTGCCGAATTCGAATATGTTGCTTTATATTCCGACAACTTTTGACAACGATTTCAATCACATGTATAAGACAAGTGTCTAACACCAAAGTATGATCAACAGCGGAACAAAACTTAACAAAATATGGCCCTTCAAAAATTGACGGAAAATCAGATTTTGCTGTATTTCGTGCGAACTGAATGATTCGATGCCGAATTCGAATATGATCCGCAAAGTGCCGACAACTTTTAACAGTAATTTTGAATATTACCAACAGTGAAAAGTATTATATAAAAAAGTTTAAGGGAACAAAGCGGGACTTTATGATTTATGGGGCTTCAAATACAGGCCAAAAACAAGATTTTCTGAAATTTGAAGCGAACTCGATACATCGAGGCCAAATTCGAACATGTTGCTTAATTTGCCGACAATTTTTGACAACGATTTCGATGACATGTACAAGTCAAGTGTCTAACACCAAAGTATGATCAACAGCGGAACAAAACTTAGCAAAATATGGCCCTTCAAATTTGACAAAAAATCAGATTTTGCTGTATTTCGAGCGAACTCAATGATTCGATGCCGAATTCTAATATGATCCGCAAAGTGCCGACAACTTTTAAAAGTAATTTTGAATAGTACCAATAGTGAAAAGTATTGTATATAAATGTTGAAGGGAACAAAAGCGGGTCTTTATGATTTATGGGGCTTCAAATACAGGCCAAAAACAAGATTTTCTGAAATTTGATGCGTACTCGATATATCGAGGCCGAATTCGAATATGTTGCTTTATATGCCGACAACTTTTGACAACGATTTCGATGACATGTACAAGTCAAGTGTCTAACACCAAAGTATGATCATCAGCAGAACTAAACTTAACAAAATATGGGCCTTCAAATATTGACGAAAAATCAGATTTTGCTGTATTTTGTGCGAACTCAATGATTCGATGCCGAATTCGAATATGTTATTTTATTTTCCGACAACTTTTGACAAGATTTCGTTTACACGTATAACCTAAGTATCAAACAACAAAGTATGATTACCAGCGGAATGAAAATTAAAAAAATAATGCCTTTCAAAAATGATGAAAATCAGATTTTGTCATATTTATTGCGATATCAACTATTCGACCCCGAATTCGAATATGTTATTTTATTTTCCGACAATTTTTGACTATGATTTCGTTTATATGTATACCTTAAGTCTACAACAACAAAGTATGATGACCAGCGGAATTAAAATTGAATAATTATGGGCCTTCAAAAATTGATAAAAATCTGAATTTGTCATATTTGGTGCGAGATTCGACGCCAACTTCGAAAATGTTATTCTATTTTCCGACAACTTTTGACAACGATTTCGTAAACATGTATAACTAAAGTGTCCACCAACAAAGTATGATCACCAGCAGAATGAAAATCAAAAAATATGGGCCTTCAATAGTTGTTTTGAAAATCAAATTTTGTCATATTTGGTGCGATATCGATTCTTCGACGCCAAATTCAAATATGTTATTCTATTTTCCGAAAAATTTTGACAATGATTTCCTATAGCATGTATATATAATTCTAGAGTGTTAACGGATTAAGCCGTTATTTCAAAATATCAGTCAGCTGTGGGCTCGGTGATGTTCGCCTGGGATAGATTTATAATTGATAATTACACGGAAGCAGAATCTGCATTATTTAAATATGAATGAGTAACTTCTTAGTATATATTTTTATATATTATATTAGTATATTAGGTAAAAAGAAAGAACATTTGTAGTTTTCAAGCGGATTTTAGAAGCATACTATGTCGCTATTTGTTCTGCTAATTCTTTTCCGCATTTGTATTAAAGGTTCATGACGAGTAAAACAACATAAAAATTCAAAGTCGCTGTATGAATCGAATCATCGAGTTCGCACGAAATTCATCAAAATCTGATTTTTCGTCAATTTTTGAAGGGCCATATTTTGTTAAGTTTTGTTTCGCTGTCGATCATACTTTGTTGTTAGACACTTGACTTTTACATGTGATCGAAATCGTTGTCAAAAGTTGTCGGCATATAAAGCAACATATTCGAATTCGGCCTCGATATATCGAGTACGCATCAAATTTCAGAAATCTTGTTTTTGGCCTGTATTTGAAGCCCCATAAATCATAAAGTCCCGCTTTGTTCCCTTCAACTTTTATATATATTACTTTTCACTATTGGTAATATTCAAAATTACTGTTAAAAGTTGTCGGCACTTTGCGGATCATATTCGAATTCGGCATCGAATTATTAAGTTCGCACGAAATATAGCAAATTATGATTTTTTGTCAATTTTTGAAGGGCCATATTTTGTTAAGTTTTGTTCCGCTGTTGATAATACTTTGGTGTTAGACACTTGACTTGTACATGTCATCGAAATCGTTGTCAAAGTTTGTCGGCAAATAAAGCAACAAGTTCGAATTCGGCCTCG